GGGGGGGGGGTTTCCCTTCTGTCCAGCAGGGACAAACCACCCCTCCTCACAGGTTCCCCCCACCCTCTGGCTCCCCAGGGGCTGATGTCATCCCCCTGGAAATTCAGTCGCACAAAACAGAAAGCAAATTGCCTTTTGGACGCAGATATAAACCCTGCCACCGGCACCTTCCAGCCACACACCTCTGCCATCCCTCGCGCCGAGCACACCCAGCCGGGAAGGGCACTGTGAGAAGCAGCCACCAGAATGGTCTACTCCAGCTTCCAGGTAAAACTCTTCCATGCAAACCCTCCCCATCCCTGAGCTAGCCTTTTGCACTTTTGGGGAGGAAATGTCTCTTTCCGGGCGGCTCCTCTGCTGGTCCAGCCGAGCGTGGCATTAAACGGGAACCTGCCCCAAAATTAACAAATTCTGATGGTTTTCACAGTCACTTCATTCAGCTGCTGACCTTTTCCTGCCATCCTGCTCCTTTCATGTGTCCCGAGCATTCCCTGGACCGTGCCATGTGGGGGTTGTTGTTGTTGTTGTTGGGATGTGCTCCGTGGGTTTTGCTCCATGGGACCGCTCCCAGCTGGTCCCATCGTGGCAGGGCTGCAAAGGCTATGCTGCCCCTTCAGCTGTGAGGTTTTATTTCCCTGGATGTCTTGGCATCCCTGCTGGACTCCGCTTCGGAAAGTATTTTTTCCCCTCCTTTAAATATGTCGTTACTTTTACGCGCTCGTTTGATCTGTGAGTGTCTCACGACGGGAGGCACAACCAGGAAAACGGCTCCGAGAAACCTTCCAGCAGCTCCGGTGACAAATTCCCTCTCTGTCTCTCTCCTCCAGAAATCCCAGAAGTTCTTGGCAAGCTCTCGGCAAGTCCACAAAACTGCTGCCCACGGTTTGTATCTCTCAGCATCCCTCATCCTTCCCTGGCGGGCACCCCTAAATAATCATTATGGGGTAATAATAATCACGGCATTGCTGGAAAAGAAGGTGCTGGGCTGAGCACGCCCAGAGAAATCCTCACATTTTTGGAAGGCAAAACTTCCAAATGTTTGGGGGATCCTGTGGTGCTTCGTGCCCCCAGGGATGAAGGACCGGGACAAAAGCAGCCAAGAGTAAAAATGTGGATTGTTTGTCCTGCGCTAAACCAGAACATTAACTGGTTTAGAACAGGACTTTCCAAATTCTTCGACCACAAATGTAAGATGTTGAAAGATCCTTAACTCCTCCACTTGTCGCTGCTTCCTAATTACACCTGATCCTGCTCTGGGCATTGCCTGGAGAGATTCTGTTTCTGTGGCTCCAGCTTTGGATAAATTAACCACAACTTGGCTGTAACTTGGCTGTGTAGACACTTGCTCTATTTTGTCTCTTAACTTGGTCAAAGTTTGTCTATTAACCGATCTTAAAATAAGTTCTTGGTCTGTTTATTAACTTCTAATAGTTTTCTTGGTTTAATATAAGTTTATTATAAGTTGATTATAAGTTTATTAACTTCTTTTAAAAAGGGCTCTTTGTTTATTGTAAGTTTATAATAGGTTTAATAACTCATTTTAAAATAGATTCTCAGTCTATTATCTCAATTTATTTAAAAATTAGTTATTAATACAACAAATGCAAGGAATGCTGCTTAATGAGACCTGAGGACAAGAGAATTAATAATCCACAGGGATTTATTTGGTCTTGCATCAAATTTAATTTTTTTAATGAAGTCCTGCCATGCCAGGAGGAAAACCCGGGAGTCATGGAACGCTTTTTAGCTGAAGGGTTAAAAATCCCCGCTGCCTGCGGAGGTGACAAAGAGCATTTGATGCCGGGGAGGAACCGGTCCAACTTTTCTGGGTGCTGGGTGATTGGAGCAGATTTTCCTGCAGCCTGTCCAAGCCCTGACATCAGCCAGGGCTGCTCCGGGGGGAGCCGGGCTGGGGTCCCTGCGGGAATGCGCTCCCAGGAGCCGGAATGTTCTCCCGCTGACTCAGGAGGTGATGGCATTCCCAGCTGTGTTTACAGGCTGGGCTCGAGGTGAGCCCGAGCATGAGCCAGCGCTCCGTGACTCACTGATGTGACATTTCAGGATGAATCCAAACCAGGGAAATTAGGGAATGGTCATTTCATTAATTGCCATGTTTGCTGTTCCAAAAAACAAAGCCTCTTGTGTACCTGCCGGTCTGGATGAGCTTTCCTCTTGGAGCAAAGTACTTTTATTTTTTTCACCTGTGATTCGTTTAATTTGGACATTAATTCATCTTTTATCTCCATCTGTGTGTGCACCCCCACTTCCATCCATAAGCAAGTGCACGGATTTGCCATCCTGCAGATGTTGGCTACATGGAATTTTACTTTTCCTGCTCTCCTGTGTGCTCTCAAATTAACAGTAGAAATTGTAACAGGCCATAACAATTTTGTTTCTACGAATTATAGATATAATTATACAATATATAATACATAATATATTATGTATTATATATATTATGTATAATATATAATATTATATATTTTATATATTATGTATAATGTATATATAATATCGTATATATAATATAGAATATATATTATGTATTATATTATATATTAAATATAATATTATGTATTATATCATACATTAAATAGAATAGAATAGAATAGAATAGAATAGAATAAAATAGAATAGAATAGAATAGAATAATATATGATAATATATGATAATATATGATAATATACGATAATATATGATAATATATAATCATATATATTAATATATAATATAGAATGTGTAATATGTAATATATAATATATAATAATATATTATTATAATGTAGAATATAATTATAATATATAATAGATATAATATAATTAAAATATTTAATTAATAATATATTATGTAATTATATGCATTATATAGTGTATTCTAATTCTATTATTAATAATAATTTTATACGTTATGACTATATTAATTATGAAAATTATGCTACATATTTATTTATATAATAATGATCTATTTATAATCTAAACAAGGCAATTTGTCACTGAAATTGAAACATACGATAGACACAAACTGGGAATTTTCCTTAGAATTTTAACCTACTTTGAATGATTAGCATCCTTTGGATTACATAGAGCTTAAGAGCTTTGTTGTCTGAGTCAAGACACTTCAGGGCATTGTAGAAAGAAACATCTGGATAAATTCAGGCTTTGGGTCTAGTCCTGCTTTCCAAAAAATTATGGAAGTTTTGGATTTCTGTGGTCTATTCCTGCTCTGCCTTTCTTCTGGATAAAGGGACATCATTTGTGTTGATGCCTCCCAAAAAAATGGTTCTTGGAAGCACAGGGTGAGGGGATGGGGCTGAGCTCTGAAGTTTCTTCACCTGAACCTTCTGGAAGCCACCCCAGGCGGAGCCCAGAGCACCTGTGGAATATGAAATGTTATATATATAGAACATATGGAACCAGAGAGTATCCCGAGTGGGAAGAGAGCCATGGGGATGATGAATTCCAGCTCCCTGTCCTTGCGGGACTCCCAAAACGGGCGCACCAGGCTCGGGCAGGTGCAGCTCCCCGAGCCTGGTGACACCGGGGGCACGGAGCTGCGGGGGCCAGCGCAGGGCTCAGCGGTGTCCTTGTCCTGCTGCTGCAGTGGTGGCCCAGAGCGCTCCCGAGGAGACTGTGACCAGCAGCTTTGCCTCGTTCATCCACGCGGCGCAGCCCGAGCACCTGTCCCAGACCGTGCGGCAGCGGAGCAAGAGGATGATCCTGGACAGCATCGGCGTGGGGCTTGTGGGCAGCACCACGCGGGTCTTCGACATCGCCCTGCGCTACTGCCGGGTAGGGACAGCCCCACCACTGCCACCATGCGCCTCTGGGGCTGATCCTGGCGGCTGCTGGGGCTGCGGGTGGCTGGCACCACCCCTGCTCCCTCCAGGGCTGCCCTGACATTCCCTCCTTTCCTCAGGAGCTGTACTCCTCCGTGGCCGTCAGCTCGGTCTATGGAAAGCCAGGAGTGAAGCTCTCCCCGACGCTGGCTGCCTTCACCAATGGCGTGGCGGTAAGGCTGGGTCTTCCCAGGGGATCTGTGCTCCCGGCTTTTCCAAGGGGGATCTGTGATCCCAGATCTTCCAAGAGGGATTTGTGCTCCCAGATCTTCCAAGGGAACCTGTGCTTCTGGCTCTTCTAGGGGAATCTGTTCTCCTGGTTTTTTCCGGGGGGGCTCTGTGTTCCTGGCTCTCCCAGGGGAATCTGTGCCCTCCTGTGGTGCCAGGAATTGGCATTCCAGGAAACAGGAGTGGTCACTGATGGGGGACAGAAGCCGGGAATCTCCTGGCTTTTAGAGAAGCTGAAGAGTGGAGGCTTTGGCAGCCCCCAGTCAGCACATCCTCATCTCTGTTTCCCTGGCAGACTCATTCCATGGATTTTGACGACACCTGGCACCCTGCCACTCACCCCTCCGGGGCCGTCCTGCCGGCTCTCCTGGCAGCTTCCCAGATGCTCCCTCCCAACACCAAACCCAACGGCCTGGATTTCCTGCTGGCGTTCAACGTGGGCCTGGAAGTGCAAGGGAGGCTCATGCACTTCTCCACTGAGGCTCACGACATTCCCAAAAGGTAAAGCTCCTGTTCTTGGCCGAGGATGAAGAGGGTTGGCGAGTCTGGATTTTAAGATGTTAGTTTAGGTTAAGCCAAGTTTAAGTCCAGTTTAATTTAGCTTTACCCCAGGGTAAAGCCTTACTGAGAGCCAAATGCCAGAGGCAATTGCACCATGAATTTATTTGGTGATTTCCATGGATTTTGCCTCAAAAATGACCCTCAGGAGGACTCTCAGGGGGTCTGCAGTGCCATCACCTGACCCAGCCAGGGCAGGAGACCAAAACCAAGCAGAGTCTGGTGGTGGTGGGCACAGCCCCTGGGCCAGCTGCTGCCACCAGCGGTGCCCTGGTGTGATCCAAGAGATGGAATCAACCAGGAACTCTTCCCTGGGGTGTGTTCAGGGGTGAATTGTTTGTCTGAGGGATACAAAGTTTGGCTGTGTGGACACAAGCTATTGCACCTCCCAGAGGAAGTTGAAATTGCTTTTTGGAGATGCTGAGCTCACCCCTGAGTATTTCTGAGGCAGTTTCAAGGAGAAGCTGTTTTTAGACTAAAGTTATGTTAATTAACTCTAGTAAAACTCTGATTTTAAAGTTAATTTATTAAAATTTGCAGTAAATTTTGAGTCGGGGTGAATCCCACCTGCACCAGAGCCATGAGGGAGATCCACTGACTGATGGGCTCCTCATTTTCCATTAATTTTTCCCTGGGAGGTGTGCTTTGGGTGTTCCCTGTGCCAGGACCGCTCATTCCTGCCGTCCCCCTGCAGGTTCCACCCTCCCTCGGTGGTGGGCACCCTGGGCAGCGCCGCGGCCACAGCCAAGCTGCTGTCCCTCAGCTCGGCCCAGTGCTGCCACGCCCTGGGCATTGCTGCGTCCCTCGCCGGGGCGCCTATGGCCAACGCAGCCACCCAGGCCAAGCCGCTGCACGTCGGCAACGCCACCCGCCTGGGCTTGGAGGCCGCTCTGCTGGCGGCCCGAGGGATGGAGGCCAACCCCTTGATCCTGGATGACATCCCTGGCTGCTCGGGATTCAGCGCCTTCTACAGCGTCTACCACCCCAAACCGCTGTCCGCTCCCGGAGAGCACCACGAGTTCCTCCTGGAAAAGCAGGACATCGCCTTCAAGCGGTTCCCAGCCCACCTGGGGATGCACTGGGTGGTGGATGCTGCCTTGTCCGTCCGGAACCTCTTCATCAACTACGCGGGGTCCTTCTCCCCGTCTCTGATCCGCACCATTGTGCTGAAGATCCCGGTGTCCAAGTACATCAACCGGCCTTTCCCCAGCTCGGAGCACCAGGCAAGGCACTCCTTCCAGTTCAACGCCTGTGCTGCCCTGCTGGATGGCGAGGTGGGCCTGGGCTCCTTCTCCGAGAGCAGCATCCACCGGCAGGAGCTCAGGGAGCTGCTGGACAAGGTGGTGGTGGAGCACCCTGAAGACAACGTGGCCAACTTTGACAAGATGTACGGAGAGGTGGCCCTGCTCCTGCACAGCGGGGACGTCCTGACGGGAAAATGTGACACTTTCTACGGGCACTGGAGGAAGCCCCTGAGCAAAGAGTCGCTCCTGAAGAAGTTTAGATCCAACGCCTCCCACGTGCTTCCAGAAGAAAAAATAGAAGCCATCATCACTCTCGTGGACAACCTGGAGAACCTGTCAGACAGCTCCCAGCTGGCCTGCAGCCTGTGAGGGGACAGCATGGGGGCTTGGTGAGGGGCGTGTCCTGGTGAAACTGCTATTCCTTTCCTCATTGGTGCTTTCCTATTGATTCCCAAGGACCGGGACGTTCCCACCCCTTCCAGTAGATAATTCCTAAGGAACCCACGAGGCAGGAGGTGTGTCTGGGTTAGCACACGGAGTAAACTTTGACTCCTGCTTGATGCTGAGGTGCTGAAAGGCCACCACAAGTATAAAAAAATTCCCATGGAAATCTCTGAGAACCCTGGGGTATCATCCAGTTCTCCAGAAAGAAACGGCACCCAGGCAATTCTTACAGCTGGATTCCAAGATTTTTCTGTGCAGAACACCTGACCACTGAGTCTGGGAAGGGGAGGAAATCCAGCTGCAGAGCCTGTGCTTTTCTTAGTGCTCCTCTGGGCACTTTTGGGATTAGGCTCAGGCAGTCCCGCTGGCCACAAGAAAAATCCATCCTTGCTGCAAACAGCCCTGCCTGCAGAACTCTCTGGAAGAGAGGGATTATCTTCCTTTCCTGTAAAAGCCTCCTGTTTCTCCAGCCTGTGGGCAGTGTTTGCCACTTCTCTGTGTACAAAGGATGGCTTGAGGACCCTCGAGACCTGGATGTCTTTTCTGAAGGGAGGAGGGTTGGCAGTTGAGGAATCCTACACCCTGAGGGCAGTCCCTGGCCATCCCAGGGCTGTCCCACACCACCCCTCCAGGCTTTCCCAGGTTTTCCCAGGCTTTCCCAGGCTATCCCAGGCACCTGTTCTGAGCTGGCTCACCAGGTGGCCCATGGGCTTCTCTGGGAGGTGACTTGAGCACATACACTGTGACTCCACTTGGGAAATTCCCCTTTCCCTCCTGTGAAAAGAAGGGAAGCTCATTGAGACTCGGCTCTTAACTCATCTTTCCAGCTGGGATGAAATCCGTGCTCCTGAGCAGCCATTCCCTGGAAGGCTCTTTCCCCTGCATCCTCCCTGAACGGTGAGATGGATAGCTCAACATTTCTCCACATCATACAGTGGGATTGCTGATCCAAAGAGCTCCTTCCCAATAGGAAAACTGTGGGATCTGCTGTGGAAATTAGAGTTCAACAGGGATGAGATGGGAGCAGACAAGAAGGAAGATCCTTTTCTCTTGCTGGTCTTGGTTTGTGCAGGGAACGAACCATCCAGAAGAAAACTGTTTTCCCACCTGTTAATCCACTCCAATTATCCACTCCAATACCCCACTGTCCAATATTCAGAATGAATCTTGCTGAATAAAGAACAGAATTAAATTTGTTTTCTCAGTAAAGATTTAATGCTGCATTATATAAACCGTCAGTTTTAATTGGAATACTCAATACAGAGGCTTTTCCAATAGAGGGGGAGTCCAGCAGAGGTTGGGACAGGGACAGCTGGAATGCTGGCCTGTGGCCAGGGGTTTCTCCAGGGAAGAACATTGATCCCCACAAGTTGTTTTTCCCAGAGACAACAACAATCATCAGCCAGCAAAGCCTCTGGTGCTCCAACACCATCACTCCAAGAGAGGTCCCTCCATCAGCAGCACATTCCAAATACTTGCTAAATTTACACGATGAGTTTTGAGTTTCCCGTGGTTTGGGTCAGGTGTGAGACCCCCAAAAGTGTCATTCCATGTTTCACCCTCCAATGAAATGGGAAAGCCACGGAGCCGGTGTCCCCCAGGCCAGCCAGCAGCTCAGCACTTACAGGGGTCAATGTGTGGGACAGAACCCAGACGGGCTCCAGTGAAGGGAATGAAACCCTCTCCCACGGGTTTTGACCCATTCCGATGGGCTTTGACCCTCTCCCATCGGTACAGAACTTGTCCTGTAGGGATTGCCTCTTTCCCATGGGTTTTGACCCTCTCCCATGGGTACCAGCCCTGTCCTGTAGGGATTGACTCTCTCCCGTGGATTTTGACCCTTTCCCGTGGGTTTTGACCCTCTTCCACGGGGATTGACCCTCCCCCATAGGCTTCGACCCTCTCCCGTGGGCACCAATCCTCTCCCATGGGCAGGACCTTCCGCGTGGTCCCGCGTCAGCCAGACACGGCCGGGGCACATCAGCACCCTGGAGAGCAGCCGTCGGATCCTCCGCGGGCACCGGGGCCGAGGGGACTCCGCTCCCGGGGGTCCCTCCCTGGGATCCCTCCCTGGGATCCCTTCCCGGATCTCCATTCACCAGCTAAAGGTGAGGAGACGCTCGTGGCTTTCTCCCATGGCATTCCTGTCTTTAGTTCCCACAAATGGCTCGATGGAAACCAGCTCGTCCCTGCTGATCATCCAAAGCACTGAATATTTTGTGACCTTGCCTGTTTTCGCACCATGAAGAAATTTGGATTTCCCACGAAATTCCAGCAAGGAAAAAATGAGTACGATTCAGAGATTGTTTCAATTTTATAGAGGATTTGGACTGTAGAGGTCAGAAGAGTCCTCCCTCCTTTCCAGCGCTGTTCCCGTGAGGATATCGCTGCTACCTCAGTGTGGCCAGCCTGGAAACTGCTCTTCTTGAGAATCCCCAGGTGCTTCATTGTTTTATACTTTTCAGATAACTTTGAAATGGATTTTTAAACAACTAAGGGAAGAAGAAAACTTAGGACAGTCCCACAGGTAACAAGGTGCCATCAGACTCCTCTGTGTCAGACCATCCTCAATCCCTGCACAAATCCAGGTGAATTCCTGGACTTCTGACATGCTGCCCTTCATGTAGGCTCCTCATCCTTGCTTTTTCCATTCCTGAGTGACAGAAACCCCTCAATTATTGATACAGAGCTGAGAATGAAACTTGGAGCTTCAGTTTCAGGAGGTTTTGAGTGTCACACAGAGGCTGAGTTCCCAAATCCCAGGCAAGGAGTGTGTTTGGACAGTCACAGCTGGATTTAAACCTCTGGCTTGATGGGAGAGCCACCAGCAACAGGCAGCTTGAGACAAGAAGCAGGAGGATGAGAGTGAGACAGAAATTTCCAGCTGTGGAAAAGTAACTCTGAAGAGGAGAGGAGTGACAGGACAGGAATTTCCAGAAGGCCATGAAGTCTCCGTGATGGAGATGTATAAAAGCAGGATTCACACCCAGAGCAGAGCAGGCTGCTTTGGGAAAACTCCCAATGTCCTGGCAGCCCAACTTTGTGGCTATGATTTGAGGCTTGTCCCAAGTTTACATAATTAAAGAAGACCTTTAAATGGGCCAGGCAAACCTGGCCTGTACACCCCATCTCCTGCTGGGACCCAGGCAGGGCATGGGCTGTGGTGTCAGCGTGTGTCAGGGTTCCCCTTCAGTTTCTGCAGCCACATCCGTGCAGTACCTGGAAACCTCAACCAGGTTCTCGTCGGGGTCTCGGAAGTAGACGGAGGTTATTGGACCCACAGCACCAGTTCTGGCCACGGGACCTTCTTCACTGGGCACCCCACAGGCCTGGAGGATGCAGAAGAGCAAGGGTTTGATGGTCACATCATCATTGTGCCCTCCTCCCCCAGCCTTGAAAACAGGTTCAAGTTCCCTTGAGCTGCTGGATGAGACAACCCTGACATTCCCCAGGACAGCATTGTTTAGAGGCTCTGGACTCGTGTCCCCTGGGATGACACTGCCTTCCTCACCTCCAGATGTTCCAGCAGCTTCTCCAGGGGCTCTGCTGTGATCAGGCAAAAATCCGCAGAGCCGGGCACCGGGCGCCGAGCCTTGGGCTCAAACTCATGCCCAGCCTCGTGCAGGTTGAACTTCTGTTGGCCAAAATGTAAAGCTTTGCGATTTCCCTGTTCCCAAAGGAAAAGGCCAACGTTAGGGAGCCTTCCTGGGCTGGAAACCTTCAGCACCCACTTCCCTGAGCAGTCCTGGAAACCCTGGGGACCTGGTGGGATCCTGCTAACTCCGGTTAGGGTTACCTTGAAAGTCACCACCTCCATGCCCAGGACTTTGGAATAAAAGGCCACAGTGTCCTCGATGCTCTTCACAGTCAGCACAAGGTGGTCCAGGCGCTGGATGAAACACGGGGGTGGGCTCATGCCCTCCTTCTTCCAGGACATGCTCTCAGGGCTGGGAACTGGTATGGAAAACCAGAGAATACGGAAGTCAGGGAAATGCATGAAAATGTGCAGGGAAATGGAAAGTGGTACCGGGAGCTGAGGGCTGAGTGGGGATCACCCGGGTTTTCCTTCGTCCTGCAGGTGGCACAAGTACAGAAGCAATAAATCCTCCTCCCTGCAAGAACCTCGGACTCTGGTCTGCATCTGGTGGCACCTGAGCCTGTCAGAGGCCCTGGCTGGGCCAGGTGTCGGGGACAATCCAGGTGACCTATCCAAGGGCTGATGTCACCAAGCTCCCAAGACACAAACACCAAAGTGTGCACTAACGATGGGACCATGTGTGATCATTCTCCAACCCCCTCGGGTGTCCCCTCAGGTGTGGGCACTCATCCAGGTGGAGCCAAGGCAGAGAGTGGAGACAAACTGGGGCCTGGAACAGCAGCAGGGAACATCTGGGGATGTTTAAGCTGCCAGATGTCACCACCAGACAGAGGGTGAGGCCAGGGGCTCAGGGTGGCACAGCACCAGGGTGTGGGGACTCACCAGCCTGGGGTCACAGAGGTTCCTGGTGGCTTAGGTTGGGTTCAGATCCTCTGACACTGCCCTTGGCTTTTAGGGACATGGCAGAGCTGAGGGAATGGTTGGACTCAGTGATCTCAGACGGCTTTTCCAACCTGAATGATTCCATGATTCTGCATGGGAAGGGTTTGGTGAGGCAAGTTCCCACAGCCCCACTGACACAGGAGCAGGGTCAGCATAAAGCCAGGTGCAGCTTCACCGGGATCTCAGCTCACTGCAGCCAGAGGAGCCTGCTTGGAGCAAGATCCCATTATCCCATTCCCTGGCACTGCCTGGATTGTGCCTGGTGACTGCACCAGCTGTGGGGGAACCATCGACAGACCCAGAGGAACCCCTACCCCTCCTTGATGGCATTTGGTGCTCAACAACGGAGCCACCTGGCTCAATCCCTCTGCAAATCCCTTCACCTCAGGGGTCCTTCTGGGTGCTCCCAAATTACAGCACTTTCAGCCTACAGCTCCCAACCCCTGCCCTCCCCTCCCAGGTGAGCCCCTGAGCCAAAACCTGAAAGGAAATGGGGCTGTAAAATTCCTGTTACCTCCCGAGGGATGAAGAGCTGGGAAGGCAGTGCTGGATGGTTTCCTAGGCCTGTCCTCTTCCTGCTGGGAGCAGCCACGTCACAGGACAAGGGAGGGGATGATGAGATTGGAAATGGGAACTCTAAACATTGCTCCCTGCAGAGGTGGACCTTGACCCAAAGGCCAACTGCTTGAAAAAATCCCAGAAAAATAGTCTGGATTTTTCCATTTACAAGAGAAAATTTGGTTTATGTGCTGGCTTAAAGCTCCCACTGAAGAAACCAGGATATCCCTGGAGAAGAAGGGCTGTCCAAGCAGCCACAGCAGCCTCCCAGCCCCCTGGCAATGGACAGGGAATCTTATCTCCTAGGTTATTTTCTATCACACAAAATAAATAAAATAATCTTTGTCCTCCGAGGCAAATATCAAGGAGTTCAAACTCTTTGGTTGTTTAGGAAGAAAATTGTGATGGAGAACGTGAGCTTCGTGACCATCCCAAGAAACAGAGACATTTTAAAAATGACAATATATTGGTGAGTTGGTGTAAGAAGATTCCTATGACAACGGGTTAAAAGCAGGCAATTCCCTGAGGGATCGGTTTGGATCTCTAGAACCGCACATATCTCCACTCCCCTTAAGATGTGAGTAAACCTGAGCTGAAAGCAATAAATCCATTAATATTTACAGCTCTGGACTTTCATCTGCCAGACGGCTTTCAGAGGAGAGCCGTGGAGCAGCGGTGCCTGTTGGGATACCTGGATGTGGGAACACCTCACACTCCGAGGGTCTCCAAGTGGTTTAACCCTCTGGTTTAGCACAGCCTCACTGAAATTCGAGCACAGAAAAGGAGAAAGGCCCCGGAGAGAAGATGTTTTTCCATTGGGAATGTTCTACTGAGGAGCTGCGGCACCAGCTCTCACTTTGGTGGAAATCTGAGGCTTGGAGGGTCATTCCCCAATGGCAAAATGTTTTCCTGGAGCAGGGAAGTTTTGGTCTGGTTCTGACAATGCCACTTGCCCAAGAGAGGTTCAGTCCAGGACCAGCAAGTCAGAGGGACTTTGGGTTTAAGTTCGAGGTAGGAATCCAAATATCCAGCTTGGGAATGGTGTTGTGCTCAGCTCCTCGGAGGTGTGGCTGTAGACAAGAATTCCTGAGCTGCTCCAGACATCCAGAGAGAGATTTCCCTACCTGCTGGACATGGTGACGGAGTTGAAGTAGCTCAGCAAGTCCTCCATGGTGAGGTCCAGAGCAAGCCCTGCTCCTGCACAGCAGTGTTGAACGAGCTCCTCAAATTCTTGGTACTGCTGGATGAATTCCTGCTCCATGGGCTGCCACAGCACCTAGAAAAGCAGAGCCCCTGCTCCATGGGTCCAGAGCTGGACAGGACAGGACTTTCCACATCTGCTGTAAAACAAGGGAATAATCCCTTCCTTCCCCTCCTGCCTGTTCATGCAGCCCAAGAATCCATTTCAGTATTCCAGCTGTAACTTGGCTGTGAAGAAATAGCTTAAATCCCAAGGATTTTGAGTTCCTAAATGTATGAACTGTTTCCAAGAACCAGGAATCAGTTCCTGTGTTACTTGCACCTCCTTGCACCTTCTCTTGGTGAAGAGAAACTGGGAGAGCTGGAGAAGGCCACGCCAGAATTTTGGGAAATTCAGGTGTCTTCATATCCCACTCACTTTGTTGTGAGCAATAAAATGATTTTTTTTCCCTTGGAAAAGGGAATTTTTTGCTGAGGATTTGAAGCCACAGCAGACCTCAGGTGGCAAGAGACACGGAGATGATTTTCCAGCCAAGCCAACAAATGTTTGACAGCAACCACTGGAAATAAATTGGAAGTAACAGGTCCCATAAATAATTCCAGCTGAGCTCCGTCTGCGAGACATTTTAGGGAGAGGGAAGGAGCGGAAGAGCCGCGGCCTCGGGAAGGAGGGAATGTCTGTTTGAGTTAGCAGAGCCAGATGCTCTTAGCTCAGTTAACAAAGAGGCCGCTTGGGAAGTGTTGGATGGATCAGCCCAGGCAGCTGTGAAAAAAAGAACTGGGATCTGCCAGATGCCGGCACGCAACCGGAGTGGGGATGGGAACCAACTGGGAACAAACGGGGAACAAGCTCCCCACCAATGTTTTGGAATTCTGCCCCCCCCATGTGTCTTGGTCCACCACTTGGAAATGGGCATGAGGACAAGGCAGCAGGAAAATGAGAAAAGCCCGCACACGGTTTGGATTGTCAGTAGGAAGAGGGAGTGGGAAAGGCTTCCTTGTGGGAAAAGCGGGCTGATCACATTGTCTGAGTAGAAGGAATTTTTTCCAGTGAGAACAAGCTGGGATAATCAATCAAACCTGCCCAGGGATGGGATAGAGTCCCACCACTGGAGCTTTCAGGATGTGACTGGACAGGGAGCTACAGAATCTCCTCCAAGCAACCTTCCCAGTGAAGTTTGGACTGGATGATCCTTTGGGATCCCTTCCAGCCTGGGATCCTGTGATGCTGCTGAGGTGGAACTGCACAGCCAAAGCCAGCAGTGATCAGGGAAGGGAACACGGGACAGGACATTCCACATCTGCTGTAAAACAAGGGAATAATCCTTTCCTTCATCCTCCTGTCTCTTCATACAGCCCAAGAATCTGTTTCAGTATTCCTGCTGCAATTTGGCTGTGGAGAAACACCCTAGATCCCAAGGATTTAGAGTTCATAAATGCATGGACTGTTTCCAAGAAACAGGAATGGGCTCCTGGGCTATTTACACCCTTCTGCCCCTTCCCTTGGTGTCCGTGCTCACACTGGGAGAGCTGGAGAAGGCCATGCCAGGATTTTGGGAATCCCTGAGCAGAACAAAACCCAGGTGCTCTCATACCCTGTGACAACAAAGTAACGTCACCCCAGACTGGATTCAGGTCAGGGAGAGTTGGACACAGGTTAATCCAGAGTTTTGGGAAGAGTCCTTGCCCTTGGAGGCCCAGGCCAGGGTCCTGCACTCACCTTGAGCCTCTCCAGGGGCTGGCCCAGCTACGTGGTGATGTCTTTCTCCATGTGCTCGCTGGACCTTTGCTTGGCTTCTCTCTTCTTGTCAGGAGTTTTTTCCCAGCAGGGATGAGGGATTTTTGACAGCAGGGAAGAGGGATGTTCTCGGGCAGGTTTCCTCCCAGCCTGGGCTCCGTCCATGGGCAGCACAAACAGCAGGAAAGACCTTGGATGAGGTTCCTGCAGAACTGCAGCAAAGCCAAACCTGCCCTGCAAAACAGCCCGGGAGCAGCCAGCTGTGCAGGAATATTCCAGCAGGAGGAGGCTGCGGGAGCTGGGAGAGCCCTGGGGTGCCACCTCCTGCAGCAGGACACACCTGCAGAGCCAGACTGGCAATTGTGGCCGTGTCCTGGAGCTGGGAACGGGTCACCTTCCCCTGCAGAGCCCCCAGGACTGCAGAGATGGCACAGAAAGCTCGGCTGTGACATCGTCAGCCCCGGGGAAGGTGCCGCAACCTCTGTGGGGACAACTTGCTAAAAATTCCCCCCTTTTCTCACGAACTGTGATGTCGTTCCAATGTTCTGCTCACATCAAGGATGGGCTGAACAACCCCAGCCCAGCCTGGGGCTTCCTGCATGTTCCAGACCTGTCCTCACCCTCTGGAGCCGATCAGGGACACCCCAGGACAATAAAATTCACCCTGTCCTGCCCGTGGAGCAACCCCAGCACTGGGAAGACACTTTGGGATGATTTCTACCAGAGCAGGAACACCTTGTAGCCTTCCAAGGTTTTTCTCCTTTTGTCTATAGACTCATGTAGGATTTAAAGATGGATAAAATACTGGAAGGAAATGACAGTTTAACATTTATGGAAGGGAATGGGGCAGACTGGCCCCATTAAACACCTTTTGTTTAATTTAGCAACTTTATTTCCATTAACGGTCCAGTGCTGGCCACTGAGGTGCCATTAGGATCATTTAGGTGAAATTTTCCTCCTTTTTTCACCCCAGACTGCTGAGCAGGTGTTTGTGTCAGCACTCCCCTCCCTGCTTTGATCCCAGGGTTTTGATCCCCTGTTTTCCTAGCTGCTGAGTGTCTTTCCCAGGGGAAGCCACACTGGGCAGGAGGAGCTGGAGGGGGTGGTGGGGATGTTTTGGGTGTTGAGGAACCCCAAAAGTGGGAGCCACCAACTCCATTCCCTTCCTTCAGCTCCATCCCCTGGCTTGGGATCTGGGCGCTGGTGATGGAGGAAGGTCAGAGCTGGAAGTGCTGACTCTGATAGACAAAACACACCAGTCTGACCTTCAAACTGGGCCAAACTGGCCTGGAAATTTCCATTACAGCCCTTTGTTTTGCTGAGGGAAAATATGACTTGTGGGCCATAAAAAATTTCCAGAGGAGACAGATCAGTTTCTCTTTTTATCTTCAGAAACACCTGACTGGAATACTTTGAGTCAGATCCAGCGAATTTGGTGGAAATGAGCACCTTGGGACAACAACAGCCCCACAGTCAGCTCACTGTGAAATCATCCCAGAAATATTGCTGTGAATTCCCTCTGTCTTCTGGGACAGGCTTCCCCCTGCAGGGAAAAGTGTCTGAGGAATCTTCCATGAAATATGGCTTTATAGAACTATAAAATCAGGGAATGCTTTGGAATGACATTCCACTGTCCCAGGCTGCTCCAGTCCCAATGTCCAACGTGGCCTGGGACATTCCAGGGATCCAGGGGCAGCCCCAGCTGCTCTGGGCACCTGTGCCAGGGGCTCCCACCCTGACGGGGAACAATTCCTGCCCCATATCCCATTTATGTCCTCTGGCAGTGGGAGCCATTCCCTGTGTCCTGTCCCTCCATCCCTTGTCCCCAGTCCCTCTCCAGCTCTCCTGGAGCCCCTTCAGGCCCTGCAAGGGGCTCTGAGCTCTCCTCTCCAGGTGGAACACCCCAGCTCTCCCAGCCTCTCTAACTATGGACACTCATCTCCAAAAGCCCCAAATTCTGCTTCCCTGCCACACCCAGGGACCACATCCCATCCCACCAGCTCTGCCCAGAACTTCCCATTCACTAATTGTTCTTTAATTAGAGCCAGAAGCCTCCCCTATGGCTGTCCCTGCCACTCCTTCAGACTGTCACCACGGGGAGCGTCCCTGGTGACACGGAAGGGACAGTGCTGCTGGAAGGGGCTCTCCAGAGGCTCTGGGAACAGGAATACAATCCATCTGTGGGC